TGGAATTTTGAAAATCAGCCGGTAAATATCCGAGATCTTAGGGTGGGGGGGCGAAACGCCCCCCCCCCCACGGGTGGTAGGGTCCGCCGATAACCCTACGGGGCGCGGCTTAACCGTTTAACAATGTTTTATATATTCTGCGTCTAACAGACCTCTGACACATCTGATAAAAGTTTAATACAAAGGTAAACGTGTTACGTGTAGGTATTCAGTATTAGACGTTTTCAAACTTATATACGATCCGGTAAACGTCTCTTACGCTCGTAGGTAGAAAAATCTTTCAAATGTCGAGCCGATAGGCGAGACGTTTAAAAGATTTGTTCTACACTGTCGCGGTTTAATATATATTATCCCGCACCGTAGACAGTGTTTATAATTGCTTCACGTGCAAAGAGAGAAAATTATCAGATGTCGTGTAACTGATTTGTTAAACGTGTAGACGGTTAACAAGCTGTTAAACGTCTAGAAGACATTGCGTCGAGCCTGAAATATGTCGTATTTTTCATATAAAATGTATTATATGTAAATATTACTATATATTAGTTTAATATATTAAACCTCGAGTAGGAAGAACAAATCTTTTAATCGTCGGGCCGATAGGCGAGACGTTTAAAAGTATACGAGGGGTTTGATAATTTTATCCCGTACCGCCGATATCTTTCGGGCACTTAAAGGTAAAAAACACCTCTTATATAAAAAACGACATTTCAGACTAGACGAAATGTCTACTGGACGTTTAACAGTTTGTTACTCATCTAGACGTTAAACAAATCAGTTACACGACATCTGATAATTTTCTCTCTTTGCACGTGAAGTAATTGTAAACACTGTCTACGGTGCGGGATAAGAGACGTTTACCGGATCGTATACAAGTTTGAAAACGTCTAATACTGAATAAACGTTTACAAATTTGCTATATGTCTATAAGACGTCTATTAAACTGCTAAGCGTCTATTAGACGTTTACCAGTTTGCTAAACGCTACAAAACGTCCAGCAATTTGTTAACGTCTAGAAACCATTTTCATTTATGCAGGCATTCGATATGAACATTGAACATGCTGAACACACGGATCGATATCATCTGGCCATAAAAGCCTAACCTCTATGCATCTAACGATGAATAAGTTATAGGTATATACCGCTCTTTGGGATATCAAATCAATATTGCTTTAATTTCTATAGTTCATTATCATTCAGCGAAAGCTGTTTGATTTAATATTAACTTCACTAACAGCTTTACACCACAAGAAGGTTATTTCCATACTAAAACAAACGAAAGACATTGAAATTGTTGACTATTTGCTAATGAATTAGCGAGAAATTGTGGTGTTACAAGATAAATTAGGCTTAACGCTTAAGCAGGTGGAACAATTAGTTTAAAACATCTCGCCTACCTGGATGGGAACAGAATCTCCCTCCTCTCGTATTTGCATGCTATATGTTTGAGCTGCGTGAAAATGTTAACACTTACCTAATCCTACATTAATTTTACGTTTTCCCTGAGAAGTTTATCATGCTAAGAAATTTAATGCTAGACACTCGCATGTCCATGTATATGTTACAGTTAGTATGCGAAATCCGTTTGTTTGCAACGCAACTAGTTTCGTTGCAAACTACCTGACCGGCCAGGTAGTTTGCAACGAAACTAGTTCCGTTGCAAACTAACTGACCGTCCAGTTAGTTTGCAAACTACCTAGTTACTTTGCAACGGAACTAGGTGTGTTGCAACGGAACTAGTTGTAATGCGAAATCGACGAGGCAGTGGCTCAATTTGTCGTGTATATTCATCTTTTATGTAAATTTTAGCAACGGTTGTTAAAACAAAGCTATGTTTTTCTAACGGGTGACACTAGACATACGTGTAGGACGGGTGGTCACATTTATGGATGAACATTGAAACAGTTTCGACTACATAACTATATGTGACGATCACTGGCGGATCCAGAGGAGGGGCAGTTCCGGGGGGCATTTTACGATTTTGATTTTTTTTTGCGACACACACTAACACCAGTCACCACCGCTACCGCACAGAACAGAACTGAACTATTGTCCCATATTGTACCGTGGTCCGGGGTAAGCGTGCGATCAAGAATCTGTCTCACCGGCCGACTCCTACTGCGACATGCCTAGCCAGGTGACCTATAGCGGTGCCGGGTCATTCGGTAACAGCCAATGATCAAAGGGCAGGTTATGTCACAGACTGATCGATTGTGGAGGTAGGAGCTCGTCAGCGACTCGGTTCTCGTTCTGGAATATTTCGAAATCGGCAGCAGAACCTTCACTTTCCGCTTATCCCGCGCCCCACTGGGGTCTGTGTATAACACGCCCTACTGGGGGAGGGGGGGGGGGCTATTCATAGACCCCCCTCCTTACTCCGAAACTACTGGGCCGATCGTCAAAACTCAAACGGCATCTAATAGCCCCGGAAAACCTGTCGAACTAAACCAAATTTCATTGACCTCGAGGTTACCGATATCGTCACAAGTCAGGTCAAAGTAAAAATTATCGATATTTGGCTTGTTCACCTTTTGGGCTCTGTGGCTGCTGTCTTACAAGTCAGATCAGGCTGATTTTTGGTTTACACACTCGTGAACAGATGCTTTAGATACTCTGAGGGTACCAAACTTGTACTTTGATTTTCAGGTCAGGGTCAGGTCAGGTCATCATAGGTCACGGAAATCTTATGTCATAAGTCGGTCACGTGACACATGTTTTATGGTCCATTTAGGCCATAGATTTCGAATTCGGTGTCGCTTGTGTCAGTTGAGGCCATTTTCATCTGAATATAGCTGAGGTCAGGTCACTTTCAGGTCAAAAAAGGTCAAATTTTAAAGTTGAAATTTTTCAACAAAAACATGTCTATCGGATGCAGTTTGAGATCAGGAACACGATGGTGATGTTTATATTGGTGTAAGATGTCAAATTGGTACAGAAAAATTGATTTGAAAATTTTTAAAATTGTGAAATTTTTGCTATAACGCGTATAACTTGGCCATTTTTGAAGATATCTGGCTAAAACTTGCTAGAGTATGTCATAAGCATGTGTTCTACCATATTTAATCCGTTTTTTTTTTCGAAGAGTCCAAAAGTTTTTGAAAAAAAAAGATAAAGATACAAAGTATAAATTTTAATATGCATAATTTGCAAAGTTAACAAAATTTTGAAAATTTTGAAAATGTTGAAAATCGAACATGAAGTCACTCTGACGTCATTTCCGGCCGACCTATGATAGATACGAAGTTCAATTTTTGACACAAGGTGTCGAATTGATGCAGCCGAAGGTACCTACTGAAAGCTTGGCGGCGATACGTCAGGCGGTTTAGAAGTTATTGCAGAAAAACGGGAGGGGGCTAAGAATAGCCCCCCCCCCCAGTGGGGCGCGGGTTATGTCTACACATTTATGGTGATCACTGGCGGTTCCAGAAAGATGGTCTTAAACGTTGCGGTAGACATAATCCCAAAAAAGTTTTCCAAAAACCTTTCGGATTTTGATTCCAATCCTTACACACGGCTGTGCAATATACAACAAGTATTTGATTATAAAAGTTGTTCAGTTTTCGTTTCGTTCTCAAAATAAGTAATTATTTGTCGCTTTCGGGCGCTGCGTGGATGGCGGAGCGATTTTGCCCCCCCCCCCCCCCTCCTGTATCCGCCAATGATCGTAATGTTATGTAGTCGAATCCAGTTAATTCACTGTTTCTATCCTAAATGTGACCACCCGTCTTGTGTCTAGTGTCACCCGTTAGAAAAACACAGCTTTGTTTTAGCAACCGTTGCTAAAATTTACATAAAAGTTGAATATAACCGACAAATAGAGCCACTGCCTCGTCGATTTCGCATTACAACTAGTTCCGTTGCAACACACCTAGTTCCGTTGCACAGAGGCGGATCCAGCTCAGAGGTTTGGGGGGGGGGGGGCAAACCATAAAAATTTATCGATTCTTTCCATGAATCGTCCATAGGCGTAATGTTAAAATCATGCCGTTTGGGGGGGGGCAAATGCCCATTTTGCCCCCCCCCCTGGATCCGCCACTGCCGTTGCAAAGTAACCAGGTAGTTTGCATCCTAACTAGTTAGTTTGCAAACTAACTGGACAGTCAGTTTGCAACGGAACTAGTTTCGTTGCAAACTACCTGGCCGGTCAGGTAGTTTGCAACGAAACTAGTTGCGTTGCAAACTAACGGATTTCGCATACTAACTGTAACATATAGACGGGATCTCGTTATAATTGGGTATCTTTAATTGTCCTGCGTCATTTCGAGGGAAGAAGCAAAGACACAGTGATCGGTGTCATGGTAGAAGGGATGACAGCCACGCCAGATAACTTGTTCAAGTCAGCTGTGAAAGGCATTTGACTCAGCGTATTCGACCTCGGCGACGGTGTCCAGGGAAAGGCCGGTAGCTTCTCTGGTCTGGACCGCAGTACCACCGATATATCCCCCCAGGCGCACAGCAGACACAGGGCCAACCAGACACTAAACAAAAACAATATACAAACATGTATTCATCTACACGCAAATAAGCAAGTACAAGAATAATACTTGGGTACGCTTGGCGCCTTCCTGAGAAGAAAATAATAAAATCGAGGTAGACGGTAGAGGCCACTCGGCGAACACCAGTCTCGGCGGTCGTACCTTGACCTGCAGGTCCTTCAGCCGGTACAGCCTGCCGGTCCGCTAGGGAGCGCCTCCCGCGCGGCCCGTAACATACGAGCGCTTCAACAAGACATGGCACAAGAGCAACACTGAGCGCGCCGCGCGCCCGCGGCCGGGCGCGAGCACATTGGAATGGGGCCGGCGGCGGCGCGGCCGGGCGCCGCCATCTTGGCTGGGCCGGCCGGCGGCCTTCCAGCCTCAGACCGGACCGGGCCGGCGGGAATGTACCACCTATACTGGCACACACAGCCGGGCAGCTGCGAGGAAAACCGCCACGGCGGCGGCGCGGCGGCGCTGGATTGCACACACAGAGGGGGCGGACTAGAGGGGCGGCGCGGCGGCGGTCACCGCTGCAGGCCTAGCAGGTACACCACCAGCTGACTGTGGCCCGCCCACGAGGCCATGTGCAGCGGGCTGAAGCCGTCCCGGTCGGCCAGCCGGAAGTCGGCGCCGTGGCCGACCAGCAGCCGCACCAGCTCCAGGTCGCCGCTGCGCACGGCCCGGTGCAGCGCCGTCCAGCCCTCGGCGTCCATGCTGTTGAGTCCGACGCGCGCCCCGTCGGCCAGCATCTGGCGGACGGCTGCACAGTCGCCGGCGCCCACGGCCCGCCGGAACCGGCGCTGCTCGGCGGCGTCCGGCGCGGCGGCGGCGGCGGCGGCGGCCGGGGTCACTGGCGGCCGCCGGCGCCGACTGCGGCCGGCCGGCGCGCGGTACGGGTCCGGCCGCCGGTACGGGTTCGGCGGGTAGTGCACGCTCACTGACGAGGTGACTGTCCGCAGCGCGCAGTCAGCGTTGTCGAGCCGCTCCGAGCTCCAGCTGGCCGCCGGCGAGTTAGCGTTGGTCTCGGACGCCGCCGGCGACACGGGCTCCGCTTTGGTCAGCACCGGCTCCGCCTTCACCTCCGCCTTGATCTTGGTCTCGGCGTCTGTGTCCGTCTCCGGGTCGGCGGCGTCCGACTGGCGTGGCGACGGCGCCGGCGAGACGCTCATCTCGGAGACTGACGAACACGAGCTGGCAGACACGCACGAGTCGGGCGAGTCGGGGTACGGCCAGTACAGGTCCGTCATGGTGCGGCGCGGCGGCGGTGGCGCGCGCAGCTCACCGGCGCTTCTCACCCGGCTGTGTCTCGCTCTCTGTCACCGCTCTGATCACTTCTCAGCCGTGTCGGGACGAGGCGCGGTCCCCGGAGCTGGCACGTCCTCACCTCTCTGCGCTCGCTCTGCTACTGCCGCCGCCAGCGGCCGCCAGACTGCGCTCCGTGTCAACAGGGCGGCCGGCGTGGGAAAACGACCGCAGCGCCGCCCCGCGGATTCCCACGCAGTTAGCCAGCGGATTTGAATCCAGGGGCCGGGCGGCCTGGCGGTGTGAGAACCGCAGAGGGGAGAGGGCGAACGGCGGGCGGAGGAGACCGCCGCTCCGGGATCGCACAAAGCGACGGCCGTTAAAACTGTCCTGAGAAAGTTACCATCTGATAAGCGGCCCTGTTTGGCGGCCCACAATTTTGTTTTTCTGCCGGCGCGCGGATTTCAATGGAGCATTCCTGAGAAGGTTTCTGGAGGTCGGCCGAGATGGAGACCTGTTGATAACCGCGGACGGATCCTTTATGAGTGCGTCGGAGCGGATGTTTGGTGCGCGTCGGTGCCGGTGGGAACGTCTGCCGGCCGGACGGGCGGCGCGGAGGTGTGAGAGCCGCGCTCATTATGCAGCGGCCGCCGAGCGCGCCATGTTTTATGTATCGTCCGGCGGTGAGAGGCGGGCTCGGAGCGCGCCGCGACCGCTCATGGTGCGTACGGCCGCTAATGATCCGATACTGGCTCCGATCGAACGGCCCGCTCCGGCGCCCAATTTACCGTGCCGGCGTAGCACGGAGGAAGATTCCCACCGCGCCATGGGAGCCGCGCGGAGTCCGACCAGGATTCCCGATGATTGTTCTGCCGCCGCGCTTTGCAGGCTACACGTTTACCGGGAGAAAACTCTGAACTAGATGGGAATCGAGCTTTATCCGCTTACCCAGGTGTGCTCGTCGGCCGATCGATTCGACACCGATAGGCGGCCTGTGTATCTACGAGTGTCGCAACAGGCGCGATCGGCACGGCGTCCGCGGCGAGACCGTGGGACCGGGCTCCTCGGCGGCCGGCGGGTGCGTGAACTGCAGCGGCGCGGGGACACGGAGCCGCCGCCGCGCCGCCCGGCCGGGATTGATGTCCGGAGCTGCACCGGTCACAGCCGCCGCAGCGCCACAGTCACGTATTTCACCGGTAACTGGGCCATTAAACGGCGCCGGCACCGTGGGACGCGCCACGCAGCGGCTGCGAAGGCCGGCAGAGCTGCCAGGTCACCGGGCGGCGTCACGTCGGCCGGTCACGGAGCCGGAACGAAACGGCGGGTCACGTCAGACGTCAGGGATGACAGGCGTGACAGGTAACGCATCAAAGAGTCATACGACAAAACGGCATGGGTACAAAGATTATCCAAATCTCGAAACGGCTGGCGTACACGACCGCATAACGCCCGCGCTAAAAGATCAGCTCGGACGGGTGTGCTTCGATTTACATCTACATCAATAAAATGCACGTCCGTGGCTGCAGTTAACACCCTGGCGCGCTCGTAAACAGTCAGCTGTCACATAACTTACCAGGCGGCCAAAAAATAACGCGCTAGCCGTATATCCTACCGCGTTCCGTTAAAACGTCACTGCGCCCGACAATAAGTGTCAGGGGTAAGCAGGCGAGGCGGACGGCGCCCGCGCGGCCATCACCCGTTTCACACGACAGAGGGCGTGCTCGAAGTACAGGGTTTAAACAGGATACAGGGTTTAATTCTCCAACTAATAGAACCAGTAGGGCGCCTCTCCGGTCGCCACAACCAGCATTTCTGGGGCACCGTCAGTCTTCAGCCCTCCTGGTGCTGCCAACACTGAGCGGCGCCGCAGCTCTCTCGACTGACGCAGCTCACTGTGCGCCCGAAGCTCAGTGCCGGAGCTCAGTGCCGCAGCTCTCCGGACACCTCGGAGCTCTCTGTGCCCGGAGCTCAGTGCCGCAGCTCAGTGCCGCAGCTCTCCGGACACCCCGGAGCTCTCTGTGCCCGGAGCCCAGTGCCGCAGCTCTCTCGCTGCCGCAGCTCTCCGGACACCCCGGAGCTCTCTGTGCCCGGAGCTCAGTGCCGCAGCTCAGTGCCGCAGCTCTCCGGACACCCCGGACCTCTCTGTGCCCGGAGCTCAGTGCCGCAGCTCAGTGCCGCAGCTCTCCGGGCACCCCGGAGCTCTCTGTGCGCCCGAGCCCGGAGTGGCCAGTGGCCAGTGCCCGGAGCTCAGTGCCGCATACCAGACCGCTGCCGGCGTGCACGGCCCGGCGCCGGGCTGTCCGGCCGGCCGGCCGCCTTAGAAGCCGACCAACGATAAATCCAGTCACTTACTTATACTTAGCGAGCGAGCGGAATGCGATACGATACAGCCCGTCGCTGTAACAGACGGCTGGTTACCATGCAAAAACGTCCCGACTCTCCGCCGGCTTTATGAAGACAGCCAGAATGCACATATCTGGTATAAATGCTAACGGCACAAACCAGGCCGCATATTTGTACTCCATTCCCAGGGCATTCTTGATCCGTAAGACCGGCACAGGTATTTACTACCTTGCACCGTAGTAGTCCATTCAACACATGTGCGCAGTGCTGCCGACATCGCCCTGGCATGCCTATGCAGTATGCATAGCGCATTCCTGTGAATCGGCTCGCCTTTCGGACGGGACGGGGCCCACCGGTCGGTCGACTCAGCTATCCCGGATATAGGACCGTTGCAGTGACAGGGCACACGTCATCTATGCAGATCGGCTCGCAGTCGCGGAGGTACGGTGGTGTGGTGAGTGGACAGCTGACCCGGGCGACCGGACCGTTCAGCGCGACTGGGTCCGCCGGCGGCCGTCTGGGACGGGCCCGGTCGGCGCGACTCCGACGGACCACACGGAACGAACCCCGCCCGGCTGAGCTCAGCTCGACGGTCCGCGCTGACCCAGCCGCTCTGACGACGGAGCGCGGCCCGACCCGCTGCCGCCGGCCGTTCCTCTGCGCCGCGCGGCTCTCTCCTGTGCCGCAGTCTGGCGGCCGGCCGGCCGGCTCTCCGTGACGCCGCTCGGCCGGCGCGCTGCGTTCCCACGCTCTCCGCGCCGGCCCGGGCCGCCGAGACGCGACTCGATAATGTGCTGATGCTGCGCCGGCGGCCGGCGCCGCGCGCTGCTCGGCCAGCCATCATCGCGTTACGCCCGTGACAATGTGCGGGGCGGCGCCGGCGGCCGGGCACGGCTGCACGCGTGACACGGAGCGCGCCGGCGGCGGCCCGACTCTGTCTCCGGCACCGCCCGGGGCGGCCCGTGTCGTCAGGTGCGCCGCCGCCGGTGTCAGTCGACACGGTCCGACTGCGCTCCCACGCCCAGCGCGGCCGCCGGCGCATTGTACGCCCGTCACGTGACCGGTCGTATCTGTCCAACAGCCGGCCTTGAATGGTGCGTCTCTGCCGCGGCCGCCGCCTCCGCCCGGCCGGGTCATTAGCGAATCCGTGTCGACGCTTATCGGCTGTAATATGTTTGTAACGGGCCCGCCCTCGGGCCTCAGGGCGGGATCTAATACCAAAATCGGCAAACGCCGGGCGTCATCCGAGTTTCCTTCGTCGCGGCGGTGATCGATGACAGGCCATCCCGGGCGAGCTCGGGACGTCACTGCATGGCGCCGGGCCTCCTCCATCGGACACGTCACCAGTCACCGGACCCGACACGAACAGAGGCTTTTCCTCGCGTTCTTGCATGAAGCCCCAATCGTTTGATTGGACAATGCAGCCGTGTCGTGCAGGTACACTATCTAGGTCGAAACTATGACTTCCAGACGGAAATTCGTCGATGGACTGGTGAGTGGTGACGCGATCGCGCAAATCGTGACAGGCATAACACGGGAAGAATTTGCCGTAATTTCTATTGTAACACCGGCATGGCGGTTCCGCGAAAGTGTCACACAATCTGAGTAATCGTAACTTCCCAATAATCAATGTCCCGTGGTCTTCTTCAACGCAAGCATCAAACACCATCTGGTTGGTTGACACATCATTCTTCGACACCGTTAACCGCATTCTCTCCCTGAGTTACGAAATGCATGCGGAAAGCCGGCGGTAGTTGTGAACCGGTGAGACGCAGACATTGCGCACAGGAGTGCGAATACGGCACTGTATGTACTGTCAGTCGTAGACTTGTGATGGCCGCTGGGGAGACCGGTGCGGCTACGCCGAAACGGCCGGCCATGAGCAGACGGCACTATACTGGGCTTTTAGGAATCTTGACTGGGTTTCTCGAGCCCAGCCTGATGTCGGTGTACAGTCGACTACAGAATGATGTTCCACTTCTCAGAAACTATCAGTTGACCGGAGCGCTAAGTTGTGCCGTTGTTGTGCCGTGTCGATTGTGAGCATTGGGACAAAGCTATAATTTGTGAACTCAGCCCGTGTGATGCGGCACAGCCTACCACCCCAGGCAAATAATTATTGCCTGTGAAAAGTGGAATATCATTCTGTAGTTAGTCGACTATACTGTAGAGCATTTTCAAAAGAAACGAAAATCTTATCGTAAATCGAAATAAATGATGAAATCGTAACAGTATCACATCGGTTGGAGGCAGCTTATTGCATTACTGATGCCTTATCTGAGCTCAAACCAGGCATACATAAACTGTATGCCTATTTCAGCTGCAGCGGTTGCACTTAATTCGACGTTTGAGCGGATTTACGGTATATTTCAGATCACTGCGTTTGGTCGGCAAGAAACGGGTAAGTATGCGCCGACGAGCGCCACAGGTCGATACAAACCGCGAAAAACGCACTGAATAAATCATACAACGCCTGGTCCGGGTCCAGCGAACTAACCGACCTACCACGTCGATATTCGATCTGATATTGATCAATATCGATGTTACCACGACGAATAGCGCGACAACATATCGCGATTACAATATATTCCATTTGAACACGAACATTATCACTGTGGAATGACGTCATCCCCGGCGCGTCTCACCTTCCGCGTGAGGCTCCGTACCGTGGTGGTGGCACCCGGAGTCGGGACAGCCGGGATTGGACAACCGCCCGGAGTTGGAGAGCCGCCGCCCGGAGTAGGACAGTCGCTCAGGGTCGGCGGTACGTCGGTGTATCCTCCATCGGTCCCTCCGTCCACCGGACTGCACATGCCAGCGCTCATCCCGACACCCAACATCACATGACCCGGTCCCATTGTCCTAGAGCGGCGTCGGCGGCCGGTCACGTGAGGTAGCGCCAGGTGACGTACATGACGACCAGGGTGGCCAGCATGCCGCCGAACAGGATAAACTTGTCCTGGGCGGCGCGCCGCTCCGTCAGCCGCATCACTGTGTTGGACATGCCGAGCGTGTTGGCCAGGTCGAGCATGCGCCGGCGCGCGCCCTTGAGCACGCCGCGCTGGTCGCGCAGGCTGGTCAGCACCGAGTTGCCCATGTCGAGCAGGTTGTCCATGCCGTGGTGGGAGCTCTGCCAAAGGAGGAGGAAAGACGTTAAATACTGCAAAGACACACACTTAGTAGTAAAGTAATCTTGCACACAATAACGCCTCAATGCCACGGCCAGACGCTGATCATTGATCAACGCATCAATGGGTAGCTGCTGGCGACACATTCGAGCACAGGCCCGGGACGGGCCGAGTAGGGAGTGGGATGGAGCAATGGCAGATCGGGACTGACGTGATCGGACGCCCACAAACGTCAGAAAAGGTCAGCAAAGGTCAGGGTCAGGAGACATGGATGGCAGACCACCCAACGGCCACCCATTGGTCCGTTAACGGATCGCCATTGACCAGCTCAGACGATAATACCATTATCTGCCGTTCAAACCAGGGCTGCGGAGTCGATGGATTTTCGGCGACTCCGACTCCGACTCCGACTCCGGCTTTCAAAAACCAGCTCCGACTCCGACTCCGACTCCGGGCAGAATTGTCGACTCCTACCGACTCCAACTCCCGACTCCGACTCCGCAGACCTAGCAGGGCTGCGGAGTCGACAGATTTTCGGTGACTCCGACTCCGACTCCGGCTCGGGTTTCTAAAATCGACTCCGACTCCGACTCCGACTCCGGTCACAACTGTCGACTCCGACCGACTCCGACTCCGACTCCGACTCCGCAGCCCTGGTTCAAACTTCAAATCACGGTCGTGGTATTTGCCCCACCTGTAGTGGCCCTCTCCCGGTACCCGTCCCCACCTGTAGTGCCCTCTCCCGGTACCCACCTGGAGTCGGTCGTTCATCTGCAGAGCCGCGTCGATGGCGATACTGGTGTCACTCTGGTCGTTAGTGGTGAACCGCTGGGAGAGCAGCTCCTCGCGGTCCAGCCGCTCGCGCTCCCGAGCCATCCGCCGGTGCTGCAGCGCCCGCAGCGCCGACTGGCGGCAGGGAACACAACTAGTCAGCGCGCCGGCCGACCGGCAGGAGGGAGACAGAGAGGGAAGCACACAGAGAGTGGTGAATAGAGTGGTGTAAGCAATGGACAATGAGATGAGCTGAGCTGATCAGCCAGCACGGCAGTCCAATGCTTGGTGGATCCATCAACCACGACAGCCTGTTCAGCTTCAGTACCTAGCTGATAAAACTGCGTAACGGATCACGTGATGAAGTTAGAACTTAGATCGAAGCGTCGTAATAAACAATGCGTCTTCTCGGACCAAAATGCACCGGACTTGTCTCGCCTTTGATCACGGCGAACTTTCGGACCGACCCGCTATGATCCTGAGTCGCCGCGTACAGCACGGTGGCACAGTGCGGTCTCTGCACCCGCCGGTCCGGACTCCGGACTACCGCGGACTTTGCCCCTGTCCCGCGCCCGACCCCGGCGACTGCGCGGAGTGCGAGCAGCGGTCCGGGCGGCGGTCCACTGACCTGCAGGTGCTGGCACTCGTACTTGAGCTGGTTGACGCGCTGCTTGGCACTGTGCCGCCGCTGCACTGGCTCCTTGTCGGCCAGAATGTCCAACCGCTTACAGTTGCTGCAACACAAAGTTACAAACAGTGGAATGGTAGTGTGGCTTCAGACATCCAGCATAAAAAATCATAAACCATATTACTAATAAGAGCTACATGACATTCCCAAAATCATTATGAAGACACACTTTCGATCATGATCAATCCCAAGCATTAGCAGTGTGTGCATATTTTCCACTTCAGATTCAGGGCTTATCCCTAGCATCCATTTAGCACTATGCTGCACAGCTCACAGCATAGGCCCTCTCTCACCTGACTATGGTGTCTATGGCTGAGTTGAGTTCACGTTCTCTGGTCTCCGCCTCAGCCGCAGAGGCCACCTCCAGGGCCGCAAAACCATGCTGTGTCCGCTGGATGAGTCCATTTGTTTGATGATATAATGTTTCCATATCAGTCTGTGAAGACTGAAAAGGTGTTTTTCAAGATATGACAGCCTCACATCGATAAATTATCTTACTTCTATTCAAGACATGATAAATATCAATGTTTTGAGAAAAATATTTTAAAGCTGCAATGCACTGGAAACTGATTAACGAAGGAATTACCCAATAAGCAAAGCTCAATGTATTGTAAAATTAAGCAAAAACTATTTTTTTTAAGTTTTCAATATCAAATATGAAAACAGCAACAAAATATGATTAACTTCCCTTGTGAACACCTCAAAGTGAAAGTAACAACAAGTCCGTTCAAGAACGAAGACAAGCATCAATGACGAACGTTCGACATCCCCCCCATTGAAACTAAACCTTTTCCAACATAAAAATTAAAATTCGAGCCGACTGTTAGATACCTTCTCTCTGCGCTCGTGCCCAACCGATTCAATTCAGATTGATGCTTGATGCTTACGAAACAAACAGCTGGGACAAGCAAGAGAAGACGTGTATTATACAAAAATAGCGCAGTAAAGACAAAACATTGAGGATCGCCGTCACTAATTTGATGTTTGGCTACCTCCCGCCTCTGCTGTGCATTCAGTTACTTTTAATGCCCAGTTTTGACGAGTTTTTTATACTTGGGACCGACTTTGTTGCCTTATCATCTTAATTGAATGGCTGTCTTGCTGTGAGTTGAGGACAAAGCAGTTCCTATTAAATGAGCACATTCTTCGCCAAGTTACACTGGAAAACTGGGCTTCCCGATATTTTTACGTACTCTCATTTTTAAGTACTGCATTAGTTTAAATTTGGCGTGACCACATGTCCGGAAGTAAAAAAGCACGATTTTCCCCATATATTAGCCACTGGAGATTCGCTTCATTCTTTTCTATTCCACATCCACCCGCCATTTGAAGGATCTCTCTAAACCGTAGGGTAAAATCTAGAAAACAGCCGGGTGGTGCATATTGTGTTACATATATTATTGTTTTTGTTTTAGCATACAAACCGTACACATATAATTTACTGATAATGCGAAAAGCATGATACGCCTCAGCCAACAACGCGTTAGACGCCACCGCAGTGCCTACCGCCGTAACAGCGCTACTGATCACCTGGCGCGGGCCGGCGCCGGTGGGCCGCCCGCTCTGCCCGGGGAGCCGCGCCCGGCCGCCCTCCACCGCCCGCCCTCCGCACTGAGTACACCGCCGCCCGTCACACGTGCCGGCCGGCCGGGCTGCGTTACCGGACACAGGACGGGTCGGCCGCACCTCCCCCGCCCCCGCCTCGGGCCGGCCTCAGTTGTAGTCCATGGTCTTGATGAACTCGACGGCCGAGCAGAACTGGGTCCACCAGTACTGGTCCTCGCCGCTCAGCCGCTCGCCGTAGAAGCTGCCCACGTACTGGATGGTCGAGAGCAGCGAGCTCGGACACGCCTTGATGAGCACGAACACCAGCACGGGGATGAGGTCGTCGGCGGCCGGCACCGAGCGCTCGCTGGCCATGTGCAGCAGGTTCATGATGGCCGCGCAGCAGCGCGTCACGCACGACACCTTGTCGCGCGCCGTCTTGTACGCGTTGAGCGCCACGATCTCGGCCTGGGCGCTGGGCCACGGCTGCTCGTAGTGGTAGACGCTGGGGATCTTGAGGTCCGGGTGGGAGGGGGTGACGACCAGCGCCAGCCGCCGCATGTGCCCGGTCAGCACCTGGTCCCGGCTCACGTCCGCCTCGCCGTTCGGGTACAGCGCCAGAGTGTAGATCTGGGGGAGCGGGCCGCCGGGTCAGGACAACCACTTTGTCTAAAGGGACCGTTCACCCCCCCCCCCCCCATCACCACCACACACACACACTGACACGGTACAGCGCCAACGGATCTGGGGGAGCCGGGGAAGGGTCAGGGGACACCCTATATCACAACACTGCGCCAGCGTGTATATCTGGGGAAGCGGGGAGGATAAAATACAACCACTGCGACGGTACAGCGCCAGAGTATATAATTAACACTAGGGAAACAGGCCGGGTTAAAACACCCGTACTGCACGTTATAGAACCAGCGTGTAGCTCTGGTGGAGAGGATAGAGTTAGAAAACTGCTAGCCCACTGTCGAATAGGAAGGGCTATAACTGATAACAACCCCCACTGTTACGGTACACACACACAGCGCTAGAGCGTAGATCCTAGGCAGGAGAGGCAGCCGCGGAAATCAACTTGGAATTATTAATCAAGCCAGGGACGGTGTTCAGAAGATCAGTTCCCAGTGATTACGGAGCCTGACAGCCAAAAGCGTCACATGCGTTTACGGGGCCGGGCTGGTCTGATTGCTTGTGTGTGGGAGGAGAGGGGGAGGGGGAGTAACTGACCTTGGCCATGACCATCTGTTCGATGGCCTCTCGCGCCAGGAGGAGCTGCTTGTCGTCGGCCACCTGCCAGTCGGGGTCGCGCAGCAGCTCGTCGCCCAGGTGGGTGAGGAAGCGCTCCACCAGGTCCGTCTTCTCGTCAGAGGCGGCCGCCTGCTGGAAACTCGCCTGTAGCGCAGGGTACACACCGGGTCAGCGTTGGTAGGGGGGGGGGGAGGGTGGATTCAGCGCAAGGCACCAGTAACAGTAAGAAGCTTTTATATGAACGGAAACGCGAACGATTATAGTAGTGGACTCCTGGGTTACCATACCAGGACGATTTTGTACAAGGAACCCCGACAAGGCCGCCATGAAATGGGCGGAAAACGAAAACTCCCGTGTTATCAATAAACGAACCTTCACGTTAGCGCTCAATTAACCATTCACTCAGTTACCCTGTGCACCACGAACCTTGAAGCGCTTCAGGGTGTTCTTGTGTCTCTCGAGGAAGAGCAGCACACACTTGTCGACCAGGGCGCGCGTGCAGACGGCCTGGTCTCGGCGCACGTGCTGGGCGGTCAGCTGCAGGTGCGCCAGTGTGTCCAGCAGACCGTTCCGGCAGCGCACCAGGTAGGCCGTGTAGGCACTGCGACCCGCGTAGTCGTCCCGGAGCGAGCGCAGTAGCGCCGCGCGGCCGGCCGCGTCCAGCAGCGACACACACCGGATCGTCTCGTGCAGCTGCGCCATCAGAGCGTGGTCCTGCAGACTGATGTACTCGGAGAGCTGGAGGCGCAGGAAGGCCAGCAGCGCACACTGCTGGTCGCCGGACGCCGCCTGATGGCCACAGTACAGTTGGTCACCCACCTGCCAGTGGTCACTCGCTACTGGTCAACGGCCGCCTGACGGCCAGAGAGCGGTCAGCGTGTTCGTGCGCGGGGGAAGACGATATTCTACAATAATACAGATCGTTCAGTCAGCCGGGCTACGCCCCTAACGTCTGATGGACATCGCGCACCGACAGTCCAGCCAGGAGAGCGGTTCTCAGCCGACTCCGCACCGACCCCAAGCAGCGCCGCCCCCCGGCACGCCGCCGCGGGGCCGCACTCGCGCCGGGGGACGCCGCCAGGCTACGCCGGCCGCACCGGCGACATCAGCCGGACGGGCCGCACCGGCGCCGGCGACAGCTCCGACCGGCAGGAGAAGTGGAAGGGCCAGCCAGGGAGGCATCATCACCCTCATCAGAGATGACGTGCCCTACACAGCGAGACCGTCTCCATACCAACCGACACAACCCGATCCCAACACGTACTGTACGGCAACCACCATCCATGTCCGAGGTACGACCGACACCACCGTCGTCAACCTATACATACCACCGGCAAGAAGGACGCCAGGACAAGGCACACAACAGCAGACCTTTCAGCCAGACTGTCTCCAGACCAACGGACCTACCATCATCGGAGGAGATGTGAACGCGCACAACAGCTGGGACATCCACCAACCAGAAGACGCTGAAGGTCATGCGATCGAGGCGTGGGCGACGGAACGCGGGCTGACCATAGCCAACAGCGGGCAGCACATCCGTGTTAACCCAAGCACAGGTGGTCGGTCGACCCCGGACCTCACCCTCGTCTCTGGCGACCTGGCTGGCGGAGCCGAATGGGAGACTGGACCTGGTCTGGGCTCTGACCACCTCCCGATCTACCTGACGCTGCCAACCATCAATCAACGACCCAAGAGGAAGGGACCGGGCCGTTTCCGGCAACAGAAAGCAGACTGGGAGGCGTTCCGCCGGCATCTGGATACCGAGATCAGCAAGTGGCCAAGCCATGACGCCCCCCTCCACCAAGAGGAAAGCCGACTCACTGGGGCCATCATCACAGCCGCGAAGCGCAGCATCCCGTTCGGGAACGGGGGAGGAGGCAAGCCACCTTTCTGGAACGAGTCGTGCCAAGAAGCGGTCGACCTACGCGAAGGAGCACAGTCCAGAGCCTCCACCCCGGACCACACGGCAGACGACATCATCGCCGCACGCGAAGCCCGACAGAACGCCACCAACACCATCAACAGAGAAAAAACAGCCTACGTCAACAGACAGCTGGAGGAGATGGGAGCTGACACCGACCTCTGGAGAACCATCAAGATCCTCGACGGCCGCGTCCCACCAGCAAAACCGGCCGTCCCCATACAACGACCACCGACAGCCGGCCAGACAGCACCGACCAAGGCGGCGGTGACAGACAGAGAGAAGGCCGACCTCTTCTGCCAGACCTACGCTGCCGTCTCGAGACTGCCCAAACGGAAGCAGGAAGACCATGCCATCAAACTCAGCTCACGCCGCGCCGGGAAGACCTGCGAGTGCGGCGACACCAAGGAAGGGTTCTGCTCCCCCTTCTCCCGCCGCGAGCTACAACACGCCCTCTCCAAGCTGAAGCCCGGAAAGAGCCCCGGCCCGGACATGGTGTCCAACGACATGCTCCGACAACTGAGCCCTACCGGCGAGACGGAGCTGCTCCGGGTCCTAAACCGTAGCTGGACCGAAGGCACGGTCCCCGCCAGCTGGCGCGCCGCAGAGATAGTCGCCATCCCCAAGAAGGGCAAGTCGCCGGCCCTCCCAAGCAGCTACCGGCCAATCAGCCTCCTCAACACCATCAGCAAGCTCGCCGAGAGACTGGTGCAGAACCGGCTCCAACACTGGCTGGAGCGACACAAGAAGCTGAACCCGAACCAGGCCGGCTTCCGCAAGGGACACAGCACGATCGACCAGCTCTTCCGAGTCACCCAATCGATCTTCGACGCCCAACCGAAGCACCATCGCGCCATCCTAGTCTCGCTAGACTTCGCCAAGGCCTACGATCGTGTATGGCGGGACGGCCTGTTCCACAGGATGGAGAAGATGGGCATCCCTGGCTGCGCCACGCGGTGGGTGAAGGCCCTGCTCACGGACAGGCGTGCTCGTGTCAGGTGGAGAAACGCCCGCTCATCACAGCGCGTCTTCCAAGAGGGCCTCCCGCAGGGCAGCGTGATGGCGCCGCTACTGTGGCTGATCTATTGCAATGACCTCGATGAAGACATCAACACCAACACCACCCGCTCTCTCTACGCGGACGATACCGCCCTCCTGGCTACTGGACCTTCGCTGCAGGCGTGCGCCGACCAGCTGCAACCGGATCTGGACCAAGTCGCCCGCTGGCTGGACAAGTGGAAGGTCGAGGCCAGCCCAAGCAAGTGCGTCTTCACCACCTTCTCGCTACACGCCAAGGAGGTCAACGGAAAGGTCGTCCCGACATTGACCTTCAAAGGCGACCAGCTCGCGCACGAGAAGAACCCGACCTTCCTGGGGCTGACCCTGGACAGCCAGCTCACTTTCACCAACCACATCGAGGAAGTGAAGAAGAGGATGGCACAGCGCCGATGCTGTCTGACAGCTCTGGCGGGCAGGTCATACGGCTGTGACCAAGCCACGCTGCGCGCGGCCTACATCGCGTACATCCGCAGCGTGGCCGACTACGGAGCTGCCCTCTACTCCACCCACGCTGCACCCTCCGTGCGGGCCCGGCTCGAGGCAGAGCAGCACAAGTGCGCCAGAGTGATTACTGGCTGCATCCGCCTCACAAACTCGGAGACCCTCATCACCGAGGCCGGCCTGCCACCACTCGCAGTGAGAGGCTGGGAAATAGCAGCAATGGAGCAGGAGCGACTCGCCAGACTGCCGCCAGGAGACCCCGCCAGAGCCCTCACCGAGCGACACGTCCGCCCACGCCTCAAGCACAGGGCTCATGAGGCCTGGCAGCGAGCGCGCACTGAGGCCAGAAGACGCGGCGAACCGCCGCCGGACCCCCCGAGCGAGGACACGGCGCTGCCCTTCAAACCGTGCTTCCGGCGGGTCAGTCAGTGGATGGCCAAGGAGGCGGGTCTAGCGGACCTCCCACGGGAACCGCTGGCCCTGGTCCCGGAACAGCCGCCGTGGACCAACCCAGCAGACGCGGTCACCTTCCGCCTCTCCCTCCCGCGCGCCACCAGAAGAGACGACCCACCCGCCGTGAGGAAAGCTGCCGCCCTCGAGGCCATAGCCATGGTCAACCCGGACTGCACCATCTGGTCCGACGGCTCCGCCAAGTCCGGCACCAGGGACGGAGGCGGCGGTGCGCTGATCCAGCTGCACCGGGAGAACCGCGAAGTGGAGACATTGGTACCGGCGGGCTCGGTCTGCAGCAGCATGCGGGCCGAACTCGCAGCGATGTTGGCGGCGTTCACCTGCCTGCTGGCACAACCGGGGGAGACCAGGAGCCGCATCAACACATGTCTGCTGTGCACCGACTCCCTCTCCGGCCTTCAGCTACTCCAGCGCGGACCGGAGGCCCAGCAGCTGGTCCTCGCCGAGCGCGTCTGGGCCGCGATGGACTCACTGGGGGAACAGAACACGGCCATCATCCTCCAGTGGGTCCCAGGCCATGCCGACATCGCCGGCAACGAGGCGGCAGACAGGCTGGCTAACCGTGCGGCGGCCGAGTGTGCCCAATCGGAGACGCCCATCGATCTGGCCAGCGCCCGAACCGCCATACGGCAGCGCGCCAGGGAAATGCAGGCCACGCGTGCACACCGGCACCCGCACCCCCAGCCCACGCCTGGACTCCAAGACCTCCCGCGCTGGGGGCAAGTGACCGTGTCGCAGCTGCGGACCGGCCACTGCCCCCTGGCACGAGCGACGCTCCACCGCCTGGAGCTCACCCCGGACCCTCTCTGCCGGGAGTGCGGTGCCGAGGACACCGTTCGCCACCTCCTCACCGAGTGCCCAGCATTCGCCACCACGAGACGCCGGCTCTGGGGGGACCCCTGCCATCCCTCGACGAGGTCCTCTCCGGGCCGGCCGGCAAGATAGTAGAATACATTCGGCGGGTGGGGCGGTCCGAGCCGCCGCTCGACCAGCCCCCGTCCGACGCGCCTGCGGGCGCGTCCACGTGACGTGCGACGAAGAAGAAGAAGAGCGGTTCTTCCGGTCACTTTGGGCCCGGACCGCCCCCCGCCGTACTACGCCCCGTCCCGTCCAGCGCCATAGCGCGGCCCATACCGCCCGGCGCCCTACCTGCGGCCTCCAGGGGAAGGTCTGCACGTTGGCGGCGGACAGCACGCGGCGCAGCTTCCTCTTGGCGTCGGAGAACGCGTACGAGGCCTCCACGTTGTTGGGGTCGATGGCGAGCCGCACCAGGTCGGCCGCGGGCTCCTCCTCTGCGCCGGTCTCTGACGGTCCGGCCGGGCCGCCCGGCCGCCGCTGCCGGGGCGGGCACAGCGGTCAGATATACACACACGGCGCCAGAGAGGTGCAGTGAGGCGCCGACAGAATATACAGAAGAGGAGGAACAGCCGTCAGCGACCAGTTATGAACGTTCCGGGAGGTACCAACAGTCAGAGTAAGCGGGGCTGTATTTCTGACAATCACGGCACGGGAAAACAGGGTGCAGACTGCGGGTGGCTGCACCAATACGGGACGAGGAGCTCACCAAGGTGGAGTCAAAACCACACACAAATCCGTTATGTGCGCGCCTGGAAGTGCGCGCCTGGAAGCATGCCGCCTATGGAGCGTGGTTAGGGTTCGGTTACAGGACACTGACGCGCCGCTCACTGCCAGTACCTGCGCGGCGGGGTCGGAGCCCTTGCGCCGGTACTTGGCCAGGATGTCGTCCGACGTCTCAGCGGAGTCGACCGGCGGCGGTGCGGACCGCCGCTCCGTCACCTCCCGTCCGTCACCGGAGCCACGCTCCAGCCTGGCGACACAGCGGGAGTCCGGTCAGACAGCTGGGAGCAGAGAGCGGGACAGACGACGCAGGGACAGGGAACTCACAGGCCGGCAACCTTCCATGAGTGGTACAATCGCCCACACGTCCTGAATAGGACTGGCGAATGCAACTGCACAGAAGCTGGCGACAGCAGCTGCATCAACCAATGAAACTCAACGGAAAACAGCACAACCTCCACTTCGACAGTGTTCAGTAGGTACCTATAGTGTAAAATCGATATAATTACGATCTTATAGTTATATGAACGTATGTTAAAAAGATCAATCGCCCCAGACTGGCAACCAGCTCTGTTTTTTTTACCCACCTCTCAGCGACGAGCTCCCGCGACCCCTTCCGGCGGTTCTTGGCGAATGGCAGTTTGAGACTCTTGAAGAAGCCCCGGCGGGCCTGGTCGTCGGTCGAGCGCCGGTCGCCCCGCTCGGCCGTCTTGTCGAAGCTGATGGACTTTGGTATGGCGCCGGTGGCGGCGGCCGGCCGCGCTGCGGGCTCAGACACTGTAATAGATGGAAGGGGGGGGGGGAGGGGAGGTTAGGGCAGCAGAGCGAGACGCGGGTACCAGGACGGTACCTGGGGGAGACTGGCGTTTATATGCATAAAACGCAGACGATAAATAATTACCGGTAAAACAGCCATTGCCTGTGGCGCTGGGCAACAGAGCTTTCTTGGCTCAAGATACACATGGACCAGACAGTAACGACAACAGAAAGAGACAAAAGAGACACACAGAGGTAGGGTATCCGGCCCACCAGCACTGGGTGAGCTCAGGTGGCAGTCGCTCGGTACGTACCGGTCGACTCGGCGGCGGCTGCGGCCGACTCGGCAGCCGCTCCGGCCGACTCAGCGATCTCGCTGCAGCTGCTGCTCGAGGAGCACGGCTCCACCGCCGGCAGCGGCGGCGGCGCGCCGGCAGACGTCGGACTGCGCGGCGGGCTGGGCGGCGCGGCCGCGGCGGCCGGCGGCGGCGCGGGCAGCGACTGGGCGGCCGGCGCGCGGCCCGCAGACCCCGCCGCCGCCGCCGCCTGCCGCCCGCGCTCCCGCTGCAGGCCGGAGGCGGAGCTGAAGTCGGACGACACCGACTCGCCGGACATCTGGCGACCGCGCTCGGCGCGCGGGGGTCCTCCGCCGGCCGGACCGGCCGCCCCCGCGGCAGCCGCCGCCGCCGCCACGGCCGGCGCGCTGGCCGACGGTTTGAGGGCGGGCGAGCCGGGCGCGGCGGCCGGCTCTGAGCGCGCCGTGTCGTCCGAGCGCGCCACGCTCACCGAGTCGTCGGCGTCCACCTCCGCCAGCCGGTCCCGCTCCGAGTCCGAGGCCAGCACGTCCGTGCTCCAGGCCTCCGAGGCCGTCTCACTGATGTCCACGCCGACCGAGCCCTGCCGCCGACCAGAGCACGGCGACGTCAAAGGAGGGGGCGTCAGCGGATGGACGTTCATATTGTTCAGGCGACTTCAGTTTATGAGCAAGGCACAACACATGCACAGCTAAATAATATCGACTGTATGCTTCTTCCTGCAACAGTTATATCGAACCCATCTGGGGGAGCAAAACCAAGTGCTGGCTGCTGGTCGGAAAGTTATTCATTGATTGTACGGAGGTCCTAAAAACTCCCACTGACCGTACAGAGGTCCCAGTACATGTGCAGTCCCAGTACTGACCGTGCAGAGGTCGAGCAGCTGTCGGGAGGAGAGCGGCGCCTCGGCCTGCTCTACCGTCTCCGTGTCGCTCGCCAGCACGTCCGTGCTCCACGTGTCAGACACCATCGACACCGTCTCGTCTGGGGAGCAGGACACAGTACATACACAGCCGTTAGGTCAGTGAGGCGGTCAGCCGTCAGGTAAGGCCAGCGGGCAGCCGGTAATACAGCAGCGTCAGCCACGGGCCGCACCACCAGCTGGCGGAAAAAAAAACTTGCAAGGATGCCTTTACGCAAAGGGAAAATAACTTAACAGTAACTTCATTAAGTATATATTAATTGGCGATTACTTCCGGTACCAACATGTCGAATTCGACACCTACGATAGAACCACATTCGATTAACAACTACTGCCGTCGAACCAGCGGGTGAACCCGTACCTTCGTTGAGCGGTTTGATGTTGAACTTGCCGAACTTGTCCTCGATGACGGTAGCGGGCGGTTTGGGCGGCGGCGGCGCGGGGGCGGGGGCGGCGCGCGCCCCGGGCCGGCCGCCGCCGCCACCGCCGACGGCTGCGTCCGTCTCGTCGGTGACCTGGGAGGAGGGCGTGTTGCGACCTGCCGTGAGACGGACGGCTGCGTCAGTAGCGGTAGAGTAGATACATGGCCCCACCAGGGCAAGTCGAGCAACCAGAAACAGAAACTTTCAGCGACCGGGAGAGGATCAGAGCCTGTCAGATCAGCTCAGGATTGGTTACGAGAGATGGTAGAGGCAAGATGGTGTCAGGTGAGATCAGGTAATGTTAGGTAAGGACTAAGGTCCGGTGCGATAGAGCGGAGTCTGGTCAGACGGGCCCGAACTCACCAGAGACGTTGGGCGTCTCCCTGCCGGACACGTTGGCCGATATCATGTCGCTCAGGTTGTCCTCCTTGTACTGTTCGGCGTCCTCCAGGCTGGAGTCGTCACTGGCACTCAGCTGACTGGCGCCCTCAGAAATCACCTCCAAAATGTCGGACGTGTTGCCTGTCGGGGAGCGATGGAGTTGCGCGTCAGTACCGCACTGGAGCGGCCAGCCCCGCGTAGTGAAGGAAAGTGGTCAAACCACGCTGCCAGTTGCCACGCGGATCAGAAGAGAACAAACAGCACAGTTCATCATCATCATCACTCCGTTTATTATTCCAATGCACAAACGATCATGAAAAAAACATCTAAGAAAAATCATCTAAGTTCATAATGGAGAGCGCAAAACGTAGTTCCAATGTGTGGATTACGGGTTCTCTGAGCTCCCGCTAACAACACGTACCCCGACCGGTGGGGCATGGCACACACATTGCGGAGCAGCAGAGGGACTCCGACCCCCGGTCCGAGTGCGTCGGCTCACCGATGGATCCCTCCAGCTCCTGGCTGAGGCTGAACCGGGTGCGCTTCTCGGCCGTCTCGGGTACGGCGGCCGAGGCGGAGGTGAGACTCTCCCGATCATCGGGCTCCGAGGGGGCGCCCGAGTCACCGGCGTCCGGCGGCACAGCACCGCCGTCCGACTGCTGGCCGGCCCGCAGCACCTGAAAGGAACAGCGAGAGGTGAGAGGGACTGCAGCTGACCGGCCTGCGACCCGGCCCGCAGCACCTGCACGGCGCGGGACGAGGTGAGGGAGACAGCCGGCCGGATGGCATGGCACCGGGCACAGGGTGACACTATTTGTGACAATTATCGGACATCAAAGTAAGCTCATCTTATACAACAGGCCACAGAGACCGGGCAGCGCTCGAAGCTCTTGGGCTGTGCAAGAGCTGCTCGCTCGGCAGCACCGTCTATTGTCCTTTTGTTCCGCGGTGACCACGCGGAGACAGGCGCCGTCCACTGACCTTTTGTTCAGGGATCATGCCGGGACAGGCGCCGGGGGTGTTGAGCGACACCACTAGCACCTCCAGAGCCGATTCCTCGGAGGGAGCCGGCTGAGCGGCGCCGGCCGTGCCGCCGATACTGCGCGCGCGACGCTGGTGTACTGACGGACACGGACAGACGCGGGTCAGGCACGGACAGGGGGTAATACGAGTGGCATTCCGCGGGAGCATATACAACACCGTATGGAAAGAACGACAGAAATGGGCCATTTAGATATACCGGGTGGCCCAGAAAAAACGTTCCCAACTTTAAATCAATATTTCTCAGAAAGTGATAAAGATACAACATTGAAACTTCAAATGGTCAATGCGGCACACATTTTCAGTAAATGGTGTGATTTTCATGGTGTTCGGTAAATTACTTTTTAAACGGTTCGTGTTTCAAGCATGCCATGTAAAAATTACTTTTTTGCTCCGATGTTTACTCAAAAATGTGAGTGAACGGGTCACTTTCACCCCTCGGCACCACGGCCTAGAGCCATGGCTGCTACTGGCAGCTAGTCTCATTGATGGTTCGGGTCTCAGGATGACACATTCCATCAGGCAACCACGATGGCTCTGTGCCAGTGGCATCGGAAGAAGTTTCCAGTTTTCTAACCATCTTGTGGCTTAAATGCTTTCCTGGCTGACATTCCTGGGAAAAGGTAGCCTTTCAACCAGTTTTCTTTTTTGTCATCTGCTGGCAATGTTGTTTTTCATGAAATGTTATGTGGTCTTCTGGCACAGGAACTAGTCTGTTTTAGTTTGTTTTCCTTATCCGATCGATTTACTGTTTGATCTACTGAAAGGAGGGTAATCAGCAGTAATCCATGCACCGTGCCACAAATCATGATTTGGTGTTAAAACGAATGGCATCCATGAGCACCATTTTGCTGCCGTGCAAAGGCAAAAACGCATAACTAACAATTTTGGCAAAATTTGTTTTTTTATACCATTCGATTCCTCTCTATGAGCTACACATGCTCATATCAATATTAAAATCTATACGTCATTTAATAACTTAATATTTCATATATAAGTTTGGAAAAAGCACACACAACACAATTAGGCAGGCATTCACAGAGGCAAAAACACATAACTTTTACATATCTACTCCCTGCTGGTAATCGTCTGGATTAAATAATCCTCCTTCCAAAACAAAAACGCATATCTGTTGCAGATATGCGTATTGTTGGTCTCCGTGTGCAGTAATGTCTTTGCATTCCAAGACAAAAACGCATATCTGTGCAGATACGCGTTTTTGGCTTGGTAAACAGTGAACGAGCAACGTAGATGTGCGTTTTTGTCGTGGTGGAGCGATTCTCAATTATGTTCATTCGACGAACTTTGCAGATATGCGTTTTTGACCGTTTCTCCTGAGCGGAGGTATCGAAGTGAAACACGTGATTCTTTTTTCGATGAGTGAATCAGCCGTGAAAAGGCTGATTCACTATATTATTATAGAAATTAATTTTATTAATTACTTTTAATTAATAAAAAAACTAATTAAACTAATTAAAAAACTAATTAAATTAATTTTATTAATTATTTACTATATTATTTCTATAATTTTTTATTATAGAAAAGGCTGATTCCAATATTATTTGCGAATGTAAGTTCTTGAATCATTGGATTCCACTATATTATCACAATGAGGACAATGAGATGATCCATTCCATTCAAGTCGGGGGCCCCCTAATCATTAGACCGCCGAAGACCGTGTTAAAATGAGATGAAATAAAGATTGAAAAGACCGGGAGGGCCCATCTCGTTCCCCAGCAGTCTTATATGAGTCCATAAAATGCCTAGTAGCGCAGCCAGGGTGATTGTGGTGAAATTGCAATGGCACTCAAAAGGCCTCAAAGGGCCCACGGATGGCGTGACAGGGTCCTCAGATGGTCTCGAGGGCCATCAGTTAGCGTCAAATGGCCCTCATCTGGTGTCAAAGGGCCCTCAGATGGCCTCAAAGGGCCCTCAATTAGCGTCAAAGGGCCTCATCTGGTGTCAAAGGGCCCTCAGATGGTGTCAAGGGGCCCTCAGATGGCCTGAAAGGGCCCAAGATGACATCAAAGGCCTTTCAAATGGCCTCAAAGGGCCCTCACCAACGTCAAACGGACCTCAGAAGGCCTTCAAGGGCGTCAAAGGGCCCTGAGCTGGCGTCAGAGGGCCCTGAGCTCGCGTCGAATGGCTCTCCGAAGGCCTTAAAGGGTCCTTAGCTGATGTCAGAGGACCCCCAGCTGGTGTCGGAGGGCCCTCAGCTGGCGCCAAATGGCCATCAGAAGGCCTCAAACGGTCCTCAGCTGGCGTCAAGCGGCCCTCAAAAAGCCCCAAGGGGCCCTTAGAAGGCCTCAAGGGGCCCTCAGAAGGCCTAAAAGGGCGTCAAAGGGCCCTGAGCTAGCATCAGAGGGCCCCAGCTGTTGTCAGAGGGATCTGAGCTGGCGTCAAACTTAAAGAGCCCTTAGCTGGCGTCAGAGAGCCCCCAGTTGGTTCAGAGGGTCCTCAATTGGCGTCTAATGGCCATCAAAAGGCCCCAAACGGTCCTCAGCTGACGTCAAGAGGCCCTCAAAAGGCCTCAAAGGCCCCTCGGCTGCTCAAAGGGCCCTTAGAAGGCTTCAAAGGGAACTCAAGATACGTCAAACGGCCCTCAAGAGACCTTAAACGGCTCAAAAGTCAAAAGTCTAAAGGCTTGAAAGGGCCCTCTGCTGGTGGCAAAAGGCTCGCACCTGACGTCAATAACAGCCTCGTCAAAAACGGACCTGAGAGACCTTGCCGGACCCTGGTTATTTGAGGGACTCCTACAGTTACCTAAGAGGCCTCCGTTTACTGAGGGGGCCCTGGTTATTTAAGGGGTCCCTGGTTACTATAGGGCCCCTGGGTACCAGAGGTTCCCCTGGTCACCTGGTGGGCCCCTGATCAATTGAAAACCCCTGGTCATGAGAGGCCCCTGATTACCTGAAGCGTTCCTTCCTGATCACTTGGATTCAGTGGCATAGCCAGGAAGCGAGGGGGTACGTGCCCGTTCTCGGGTTTAGGGTTCCTTCGAACCCGAGGGGCTCTGCAGCGCCAGTTGGTGGCAGAGGGTTCGTGCTAGCCGCGCTTCAACTCGGAAAGACACCACAGGGCTTGTGAGAGCACGTAATTGGCTCCTATGTAGCCACACTTATCTCCATAAAGGCCCAATGCCGGTTTATGAGAGACCTTGCCGACCTCTGATGGCCCTAGTAACGGCCAATGAGGGATCAGCTGCAATGGCTCCACATCCTTCTGTGATAGCCCCACGGCGCATAGCAGTGTTTCTAAAAGCCACCACGACGGCACCTGCGAAGCTCCTCACGCCACCTCCAAGGGACCCACACCAGCGCATCTTAAGGGCCTACATCGGCGGCTCTGAGGGTCCCCACACCGACGCCTCTGAGGGCCACGTACCAGTGACTTTGAGGGCCTCTTACCAGCCTCTGAGTGTCCTTGCCAGCCTGTGAAGGGCCACTTTCCACTTGCAGGCCACTCTGCACGGCCACACACATGCCAATGATGGCCCCACCAGTGTTCTCTAAGCCCTGAGACCCCGCAACGGCGCCTGTGAGGACCAAAACCAACGTATCTGACGGCCTTCCACTGGCACCTCTGAGCGCGCCACACACCGGTGACTCTGAGGACGGTGACTCAGAGGAGCTCGCTCGCTTCTCTCGCTCGTAAAATACTATGTACCTTAGACATTAGTGTATAGTTATTAGGGACACTCCTCGGGCATAAATGATACATTTACTTGCCAATTTTCCACATTTTCTCACGGCAAAGACCGTTTTAAAGAGGCCCGTCTGCCAGTGGGACTAGACCCACCGTGCCCCCTCCCCCCTTCCCATCGAAAGGTCCTGGATACGTCCTTGCCTGGGCTGACCCTGGGCCCCCGGATGACTCGCGGGCCCCTTCAAGAGCGGGTGACCCCTTCTTGGGCGAAATCCTTGGTACGTGTCTGACGTACATCGTACGTAGTCCTTTTGATTTGATTCATCGGTCAAATATTTAATATAAGTTATAAGCTGGATCTCTGGTCTGTGATCTCGCATCGTATCAGATATAATGACATTGCATGTCAATGTGCCTAAATAGGTAAATACGCGAATATGCGTGAAAAAGAGTGCTGCTCCCGCTCCTACACATCCGGACCAAACAGTGACTGGCCCCTGCTTCCAGCCACCCGGGGCCGGTCGGCCGGCCGGCAGTCCGTCGCTGGCCGGGGCTGATTTCTGAGGGACTTGCAAAAACGCTTATTAATTGAACATTTTACCATGTTTTACGTAATGACTTAGATGATTAGGTATGTGTACCGACTCTGAGACTGTGTCCCCTTTGAATAAAACATGCCAGCGTAAAACAAATATTATAAATGTTTTGAAAACTAAGCTGGTGTTTTGCCATGCATTGACAAAAGCTAAAGCTTCAACGCAAATAATTCATCCCTCAATTACTATATTAGCGTGAAATGTTCAGTGCATGATTTCTTTCAGAAAAAAAAAATAGTGGCGCATGTTGCCGTGTAAGCATCAAGTCAATTGGCCCAAAACTTTGCTTATAACAAAAGTGTACCGTGTAAACAACATCCCGCCGCCTGGCGCCTCAGCGGCCGTTATCCTAATATAAGGCCTTGGCTGTTATTAGCCGCCTAAATTAAAGACTGTGCCGGCGCCGAACATTTCCGTCTTTGCAATGCGCTGTAACCGCTGATAATAATCGATTCGCTTCTAAACCCCAATGGAGCCTTGCAAATGTACTTGCAATTTAATGATCAAAGAAATACGAAAATCGGCCGGTAAAATTTTGAGTTACGAGGGTTTACCTATGCACAAAATTGCGGCTGAAACTTTCCGCGTCGGCTGATCCCGCCGTAACCGGAACAGGCGGGGGGCATAGGGGCCATGCCCCCCCCCCCCCTGGAGCCCAAAAGGGCCCCATCGCGGTGTCATAAGTACGGTAAGGGGCACAATAAAAGTAGCGTATAAACTATAAAGGGCCCCTCGGGGCACTCCACTGGGTTCGCGGGGTCTTTCGGGCCTGAGACCTTGCCGCTAGGGCCCTCTGGGCTCTCTTCATTGGTCATAAAAGGGCCCTTCGGGCCTGAGGCTTTGCCACTGGGCCCTTGGGGCCCTCTCCATTGGGTTCGCAGGGGCCCTTCGTAATTTTAAGGTAGTTAATAATACGTATATAAGCAAATAAATGCGTCATGAAATTAAGAAAATGTTGGGCCCCTTCGCTCACATGGCCCCTTTCGGTTTGATTGCCCTCCTCCCCCTGAAGAAAATCCTGGCTACGCTCCTGCCCATAGACGGCTTACATGACCCTCAGACGGCTTACGAGTTTCTCATGGGCTGTAGGGGCCTTTGGCGGTCTGAAGGACCCTCATCCGACCTACGGGGACCTCAAGACCGCCTTCAGAACCGGCTGAACGACTCTATGAAGCTATTCGTGGGCCTATCTAGCAGGCACCCATGGACTGCTTGCCCCTCAGTTCTAACATTTTTTATCATATTTTTTTTTAATTTATTTGGGCCCCCTCCAAAAAATAGTGGATGAAATCCGATGACTTTTTGTTGGATTTTGAGGGGGTTTACCTTGGGCCCCTGAAAGTTTGGCCCCCTGCTGGAGGAAATCCTGGCTACGCCCCTGCCCCCCCCCCCCTGGAAGACTGGAAACGCGCGGATAATGTGAGTTGATATACGCCGAATCGCGATTTCGGCCAAACACGGTCTTGAGAAATAGGTCACAGCTCAAAGGTCATTTGGGTCAAGGTCATCAGATTTTTTCGAGTAGGTGTAAATTTCTAAATTCAAGGGCAAGTAAAGTTTTGCTGCGATCGGTCGCTTTTTGCGCGAGTTATTCTCGAAAAAACCGAGAGGTCCATACTCCATACGACCCCTCCCCCGCTCTACAAGTGCGAGGGTTAAAAGGCCGGCAACCTTTTTACGGAACCAGGCACTTGCGTGAGGATCCACGACAGCGTCACAACATTATGTAAACTACCGCACAAACGTCTTGCCAGCTATGTGAATCTGCATCTCCCGTATTGATCACTGGGTGTGGTCAGTTACGTGTGCATATGTATTTACGGGCATAAGTTTTGTATGCACGAGCCACGAAACAACAAGCGTATCATCCAATATGTTAGTTGTCTAGTTCGATAGGACGATTGTGGCAATTATGCACATCTTACTATACGTCTTTTTTCAAGCTAGCTGGTGGCGTCTGTGTCCAATGGCACGTGCGCATATCTCCCAATACGCGTATTTGCCTATAGTGCTACTGCCTTGTGCCGAGTGGCAAATACGCATATCTACCGTTGTGTGGATTTGCCCAGATACGCGTTTGTTGTTGGCATGGGTCACCCCCGCAAAGAAAATATTGCAATGGCAGAAAAACTTTTATGTAATTATATGAATATTTATTACTTTTGGACTATGATACGCATGTACATAGGTAGAGCGCGTTATTCTGTTTCAAATGATATATACATTGCTGCGCTTCTGGTCAATGGAAGGCCACAATGACCGAAAAACACGAAACTCGCCCCTGTGTAAAATTTTGTGCTGACAGAAAAATGTTAGATATGCGTTTTTGCCTTTGCACGGCAGTTTGGCTCAGTATTTGAATATTTGGCACATAAGTGAGGTGAGACACAAATATTTAAAATAAGAACATACGTGTTGGTTTCATTCACATGCTCTATTTTTCTATTCTTTTTTATAACATAACCCAATCATCACTATCGTTTGACATCGGCAAAATAAGCAAAAACGTCTTGCTTAATTCAACTCAAGATTGCCAGCTTGAAAATGATGGTATAGTGTTATAATTTAGCATACCAATGCGCAAAGAAATGACGCAAACTTGCTGAAAATTTTGTCTCGTTATTAATGCACTCGAATTTGATATATAGGCCTCCAAAGTTCGGAACGTTTTTTCTGGGCCACCCGGTATAATTGCTTAACGCGACAAATTACAGACAAAAACACTCCACAATAGTTACATCGAACAGTGGCTGATGGTAGCCCGCTAGTGCCCAGTGTCCCACCTTTGTCCATGATGCGGTTTCGTCGGCCGCCCTGGGCGCCGGTGCCGTGACCGGCCTGGCCGCCCTGGGGCGCCGTCCCCGGGCTGTGGCCGGCGCCGGCGGCCGGCGGGGGCGGCGGCGGCGGCGGCGGCGGCTCCGGAGACGGCAGGTGCGCCACCAAGCCCTCCAGCAGCTTCTTGTCGGCGGGGTCGGCGGAGCGGGCGGCCAGGCCGCGCACCAGCGTCACCAGGTGGTCCAGGTGCTGGCGCGTCACCAGCACGGCCGAGCGACTCAGGCCGACCAGGTGCGAGCCACGCTCTGGCGGCCCGCCGGCCGGCCCGGCCTCGGCGCCGCCTCCGCCGGCCAGCACCGCCGACACCAGCGCCGGCATGCGAGCCTTGTCGAACCGGTCGTAGAAGGGCCGCAGGCGTGGGTCCACCTGGTCCGCCTGGTCCATGGCCAGCACCTGCAGAATCTGCCCCACCTGGATCAGGTTGTGGCGCGCCGCCGGGCTGACGGGCGCCTCCAGGAGGCCGTACTGCACCGGGTCCACCACGGCCGGGCAGATGAAGAAGGCGAACATGAGGTCCACGCAGATGGCGCTCAGCTGGTCGGGCGAGCAGCGGCCGGCCTCAGCCAGCAGTTCGCGCAGCGTGCGCACCACCCAGGCCAGGCTGGCCGGGAAGCACGCCGCGCTGGCCGTGATCTCCGAGACGAAACTCTCGGTGAGCCGCGCCAGCCGGTCGGCGACGGCCGAGTGGGGCGGACCGTCCCCGGAGACGGGCCGCGCGGCGCGCTCCTCCGCAGACAGGCCCTCGTCCACCTGTCGGTGACGGGGGAGGGGGCGGGCCGCGGGGTGAAGGTCCGAACACAGCTGGGGTAAATATGACACACCCCATCCGTCCACATCCCGCTGGCATCAAACCGGCTAGATGGATGACGGGCGCCTGGCAGCACAAGCACAGGACAATCACGCAACACACTATTGTCACTTCAGCTGAAGCATTCAAAAGCACAAAAACTCATTCAAACTATTTCGCGGCAGTGCCTGACTGAGGACTCTTGAAACTCAACGGAACAAACTCCCCACTTATTGCTGGTCGTCACCGCCCCCGAGACCGTCCGCGTCGACTAAGAGCCCAAAAGTTACCCACCGCCCCCCCCCCCCTAGCCCGGAGTATATCCCACAACAGCGCGCGGCTGGGCAGGGGTGCGTCGCACCTTGTTGGGGTCGATGTCCAGGTACCACTCGTCGTCCATGATGAGCTGCATGGTGGGCTGGTGCAGGGCCGACGTCAGGAACAGCTTGGCCTCGAACAGGCCCTCGCAGAACGCCTTGTAGACGCGGCTGAACACGCAGGAGCCGCGGCGCAGCAGCCGCTGCGGCTCCTCGGAGTTGACCACCTGGGTGACCATCAGCTCCCGCAGCACCTGAGGGTACAGAAGGCCTCAGTCAGCTCCCGGAAACAGCAGGTCACCGAAGCCTCCGAGGGAGCGGCCCCTCAGCTCCCGGTCCCTTTGAGGCGAAGAGCACGGCTCCGTCAGCTCCCGATCTCCTGTGGTGGAAGGCGCGCGCCCACTCGCCTGTACCCGGTTCCGTGTAGTGATGGAGGGCGGCCACTCGCCTGCAGGATGCAGCTGCCGTCCTCCTGCAGGATGCCGTTGCCGAAGACGCCCGAGTAGACGGTGTTGACCAGCTGGGTGACGCGCGCCGGCTCGCTCTGCTCGCAGTGCAGCAGCAGGCGCGCCACCAGCGGCGGCGAGCTGCGCAGCTGCTGCAGCAGCTCAGAGTAGAACGGGTCCTGCGCGCAGCCACAGACCGGTACGTCCGTCAGTGGAGGGAGGGCGGGACGACACGGCACAGCACTTCCAGAAATGACTATACTAAAGCATTGAGGGGGCAGCCGAAATGTGATCACGAACTGGATAAAATCAGCCCCTTCCCTAAAATATTACCGCCGGGCAGCCGAAACGCGATCACGAACTGGATTACATCAGTTCCTTCCCTAAAATATTAGTTACCACCTCCTCTATGCACCAACTTATCAATTATTCCCTGAGGTGAAAACGTTAAACATTCAGCTGAAAAAAAACGAAAGAAGCTTTTGAATATCTCACATCTTCACCGCACATCTGTTGGTTCACTGAAGTACCTAGAACGGTCACTGGTGAAAAGGGACAGTTACTGAGGCTCCTGAGGCCTCCGAGTCCGGGTCGATGCCGGGTCGGCCGGCCGGTGGGAAGCGGCGCGTCGTCGACTTACGATGGGTCCGAGCTGTTTGTAGCTGTCCACGAAGCTGGCCGCCTGCAGCTGGGTGTCTCGGCGGCAGCAGCCGGCCGGTGTACTGTCGCCCCGCGACAGGATCAGGCCCTCCAGGTTCACCTGCTGCTGGCGCGTGATCCACGACAGGTGGTACAGATCCTCGACGGCGCGCATCACCTACAAGGGCCGGGGAGGGGGAGGGGCGGGGGTGAGGGCATGTCAGCGGGTCAGGCACAGAGGAAACACATAGGCCTGGATGGGCAACACTGTCCCAGCCAAACAGCTTCCCATACCCAGTGAGGGTAGCCTAAATAGTGAACATTCAAGTACCAGGCATTTGCCCACATGACTGGAGACTGGACATCATAACTTTTGTGTTTTTAACTTTTTTCAACAGTAACATTGGAAGGACACAAACTTTGAGAGAAGAAGGCAAAAGTAATGTGCATACAATACACAAATGGCAGATGACAAAAATGCAAACAAATACTATACAAAGGGGAAAGGTAATCCCATCCACTTGAAAGAGTTAATTGGTTGCTAGAAACCCCAGCTGCTGCTAACATTCTTACCTTGATGTTTAAATCTTGAATCTGAGCCTTCTCTGACTCCACAAATAACTTTTCCCTTTTCAGACATTGTGACAGGTCTAGCAACTCCTTGTAAGGAGTTGCCATTTTTGATCAAATCTGCAAAGGATATTATTTTGGTGAGTGACTGCCTCATGGTCAGAAGTTTTCACTGTTAGCTGTATATAGCTTCATACCTAATAAGGTGTAATTAGTCACACCCTCTATGGTTACCTATTTAGTAATCTTGAGCTCATGCCTCATGAGGCTACTTCCATTCATGAATTTTTTAGATTTAGCTCCAAGAGGACTGAACCTCAATTGCAGAAGAAATGGATCCCTTCAGTGACTTTTGCCCCTGCTCAGTATATTTACCAGAGTCAGCAATGAATATATAGGCTTGAAATGTTATTTCATAACCTCAACACCTCACTGCAACCTCAACCATTTACCTATTAATTCAATTGCCTTGCCTCCCCCACAAAAATTCCCCTGGCTCAAGCCTCAAACTGATACTTGTGCTGTGCCTGCTGAATCACAAACCAGCCACTTCTATTATAGACTGCAGTGGTTGCCCAGCATACAATGTACAATGCCTCTAAGCTCTGGTGCACATCTTCTAACATAAATTAGTTCTACTCAGCTCTACTCAGCTACCTACCACAAACATGAAAATTTTTGCAGCAATATTTATGTGTCTTGGCCGGTGTGAGTTCTTCTTTGTGCATTAAATCTGGGAAAGCACTTACCTATTCAAAATTACAATTTATGGGGTTATTCTATAAATCTATCAAAATATACCTCAAAGAAATGCTTATTAGATATGTCATAATGTTGGTGCAGAGAACTTTGACCACTCATTTTTGACAACTTTAATGAGTTTAGGGAACCCCTTAAAAAAGACTTTGTCATATACACACCCAGCTTATATCAAAGAACTTAAAGGACCACAGATCATATACACACTTGCTAATCATTCAAAAGCAACTGATTTTAATTTCAACTTTTATCTGAGGGCTTTCATTCATGAGCCCTGTAGAACCATACACAGGCTCCAACCAACCTCCGCCCACCGCGTCCCTACATCATCCTTCAATCACGGCACACAGCAACCCATGAACGACCCGCGCCTATTAACAGCCCTCTGATACAATCCTGTCCATCCTGACACCAAAGCCAAATTGAAAATGAAAAGGGAAATTGAAATTGAGATGGGATCGTATTTTTCAGCTTCTAGCTCTCGAAATAAATTCAGAGGACACAACATCGAGCTGAGCCAGTGTACGATTAGGGCACCACAACTACTTCCAGAAACCTGAACAATAAAAATGAATGAAAAATATTATTTTAACATTCGAAAAACTGACTAATCACGGCCAACTCAAAATCCTGACCAAAATTTCGTCGGGGCCACAATTACTGGACGCCGGTGAAAACAGGGCGCCGGAGGGCATATTAGTCACGTGACATTTGGAAGTTCTCCCCCTCCGTGGCCTTTCCACACGCCAAACGTCACGTGTAAATTTCACGAACCTTGATCAAATCGCCCCAGGCGCCCTGTTTTCACCGTCGTCCCAATTACTTACCCAACTTTGTTCTACTGTTCAATATTTCGCTGGTAACAGGTAAAAATGTTCATTTTCATGTTTTTCTTTCAACCAATTGGTTCAAAAAGACCTTGAGATGCAGGCGCACAGCAATTTACACCGTATTGAACACAAAAGACTTGTGTTTTTTGTCACAAGTGCGGCACAAAATTTTTCTTTATTATCAACACGTTGCTGGAGTGGTGAGGCTGGGATTTTTGCTTCTTTGTAAGGGATAATCCGTCATTTATTTAATTTTTGGTGAAAAACAAACTAAAAAAGTTTGAATTAACTTCGGGACTAATTTTAGAGGCCGCAACCTTAAATAAATGGTTGTTTAGGCCCGTTGTTATTTGCGCTGATATCGTCCATGGTGATGGCCCATGCCCTTCATCTTGCCATTGAAAATTGAATCAGGGTTTATATTTTAAGCTGTGTTGAGCTTTTTTATTTCTTCATAATATATGTAATAAAGTTCAAGTGTAATATATCGATAGAATTTCTCCTAGTTTCAGTTAGACAGTAGACTTGTGGGCGGTGTTTCACGGGACGCTGCTACCACGCTGCTATCAAATTGCGCGAGCTGACGTCACACTTGTGGTAGTGTTGGAGCAATGGGCCTGTTGATGTTTCCATGGAAACCCAATTTGACACGTGTAAAAGCAGCGTGCTCGTGCTGCTATCACCGGTGAAACAGGGCCGTTGATAACAATGATCGGCTCATTTCAGTTGGTGACATACCAGGGAAATAAGCTAAAATAAGAGCACTCTATTTATTGCTCCTGCCCCATGTTGAAGAGATACCCCTAAAAGCGTGATCTTTTATCGGCCCTTACGCAGCAAGGCAGTACTTCTCAGACCCGTGGATGGTATCAATAGAAAGAGAATGCGTCAAAGATTAACATGAATTAATTAAAATAACATTAAAATGTTAATTAAGCGTGGAAATTAGTCCCAAACATAAGCTAATTATTGCTCCTACCTCGGCGACGGCGCTCCCCGCAGTCAGCGGAGAAGCTAAAATAAAAGCCACCATCCTCCTCCGTAAGTCAATTTTAGAGCGGCCGAGTGGACCGATGCGGGGCCACCAAACTGAGATAAGTCGTGGCTAGCAATTGCAAACCGTCATAGAAATCAATATCTTAAGACGTACAATATGGGATGATTACTCTGAAGCTGGAGTGAAAGCATGAGTAGATTGCAAGAAACGAAATGCATAGATTGGTTGAATTATGTACAATAGGCACAGCTCAATAGATGAAGCCATTTCTATGATGTTGACATTTGACATAACCCTTCCTCTCCTCATCTATGACCTAAGTGCATTGGCAGTTGCCGGCATAGTTTTTGAGCACGAGTGTAATTCGCCATCGGACCGCAATGCATGTTGCTAGGCTGCTGCAATTACAACGAAAATACGAATACTGCCTTCTTTTGTAGACGTTTGTTTTTTGACGGTCTTTGACGTATGTACAAGGGGGCATACCTGTCGACAACTTGAGTTCCTCCGAATTTCAAAAACTCCCAGATTTTCAATTCCTTATGCACTGTTGTAGGTACAGCTATGCTCACAAGTTTTCGTTTCCTCCTGTTCTAAAAAGGATGATATTTGTCGATTTCGTGCGTCGCTGATAGGAGGGTGCGTTTATTAATTAGGCCCAACGCTTTCTGCATCCGCGAGTACCTTCAAAAGGGAACAACAGTTTCCATTTATTACACTATGGGACATGTGACAAAATGACCACTGGAACACGCATGAAACGGAGCTCATTTTCCTAAAAATGTCTACAAGCAATTCTTTTCTGACACTATTAGCAAATACCATCTCAAGTTAGGTGGTTGACACTGACACTATTAGCAAATACCATCTCAAGTTAGGTGGTTGACAGACAGTCAATGGAGATCAGGGGAGACTGAGTGATGCCAATTCACCACTTAACTGATAATGAGGGCCGAGGGGAGAGAAACATGCAACATGCACAACTAACAACTTGCCAAGTGACAAAACACTACCACTATTGCGCAGTGCACAACAAATTACAGCAGCCAGCCCAAAAATGCTTTTGGTGGCTAATTGCAAAACAAGTCACTAATAAATGTCTTAGTTGCAGCTGAACACTGCACATTGATCACACTGTTCACGCATTGAGTGAGATGCCACAGGTGGTTTGAATCACACTTTGGTAAAACTGCAAATCTGAAGTGTTGTCATGAGGTTCATGCCTCCATGATCACAGCACTTTGGTTGTGGTTGGCATAACACTTGTAGTCTGCAGAGTTCCACATGAACTGCAGACACCTCATCTGGTGGTCTTCATGCTGCTCAACTTCTTCAGGAGGCAAATGTCGACCACCCAGCGGAAGCATGGTCCTGCAGAAAAGAAAGGTAATGCATAAGGTACAAACATTATCTGATGAAACAGCCCCTTTTGTTGGCTGTTATTAAACTTTTAGCATAACATAACAACATGTATTCCATGTATATTACATTTGTTGAAGTAAAATACTGCTGGCTATTTCAAAACCAGAAAATGAAATTATATTGTGGCATAATTCACATGCTCAGCTATCAGTATCAAATAATAACTTAATTTAAAATTTGGCATATTCTATAAAACGCATTAATAGAATATTCTACTTCACGTCACAAGGACTCACAACCTTTCTGTTGGGTGTTTGATTGACGCATTAACTAAGTTTGTCTTAGGTTTTATTATTGCAAAAAATTCATATTGCATTATTGTATCAAAATACTGCCAGCAATAACAAAACAAGAACATGAAATGTCAATGAGCAAGCCGCCTTTCCTAAAAATGGGTTACTTTGAAAAGAATTTTAGTTTCTTTTAAGGAAAAGGAGAAATGATTATCAGGTAATTATCAGAAAACCACTCAACCAGCAAGTGGCTGGGTGGTTTCACAGCAAACATCAAGCCAAAACATATATTTACATTTATCTAACAATTAAGCCATTTGACTACTACAAGGATATGTGAGCAAAACAAGCATCCAATTATCCAATGTTGACTTCCTTGCAAAGTTTATGCCTTATTTTATGAAAATGTGTCACTAGAATATGATACTTATCATCGAATATTATTTAATTTACGATTTATTTCGATCGAAACGCACATGGAGTCCCGCGCCATTTTCGTCGACGATGAATATGATCCTGTTTCATTAAGAGATAAGGAGTTTCAATGGTCTTTCAAAGCAATAATTGGATGCAAAATTTGGTAGGAAATAATATAAAGCTGGTTCAAATGGCCATCAACCATTTAAAACACCGAAAATACTCACAACTCCGACCCAACGACCACGCAGCACCGCGCACGCCACACAACTGGCACAATGCCAAAACTGCTGTCACAGCAGAAATGTTTTTTTTTCTCGATTGCGATTGTGAAATTATTTATTAAACAGAAGATGATCTTTCCGAAAAAGCGACTGATTTTATACACAGATGCATGGAAAATAAAAAAAATCCCGGTAAGTTTATTTGTATTGTTTTGTCGATTTTGACATGCTCCTAGTTTGCAGCCATATTTCGATAAGTTCTACAGGGAGTTCAGAATTATTTCAGGACCAATCTTTTCCTCGTTCATTTTCCCGTCAATCATGAAATTTTTAGAGCGGAACAATTAGTTTCCAGGCGGTCCGAGCGGTTTTCGTGAGAAGGGTGCGAAAATCGGCGTCATTTTTAGAGCCTCGACACCAGCTCAACACAGGACCCTATGGGAGACGGTGAAGTAGCGGAAGCAATAAATAGAGCGCTCTAATTTTAGCTTATTTCCCTGGTGTGTCACCGACTGATTTGTTTCACAATTATTACAATTAGGTACCCATCCGTGATTGTAACTTCCCATACCTGCTACATTGCATGATTAAATCGAGACATCCAGGCATTTAAACGGCACGTGCACTGTACCACACTTTTCAAAGTATAATGCAATGCTTTAATATTACCAGCCGTGTGGTTCAAGGGGTGTGGTTAAACACGTTGAACCACACGGCTGCTGACGTCACTATCCTATAGTTGTGAGCTTTTTGGCAGGTATGGGAAACACCTTCCAGCCCTAAGGCCGGAAATTCAATAAATGTCACCTCGCTTTTTTAGCGAAAGCACCTCGGGCCTAACGGCCCTCGGAGTTTTCGCTAAAAAACCTCGGTGACATTTATTGAATCATCCCGGCCCCGGGCAGGAATATATTATCTGCAGCCGGAGCTCAAGCTAGTAACATTGGCATCTCTTTGAACTATTCACATAAAATTTTTGAGTTTTAGTGTTATTCAGTTATCTGTATTAAGAGGAACTAGCTGTAATAATCATAGGTAACTGATATGGATAAGATGAACCACTGACCTTGGGGTTTGGGCTTGGTTGGATCCATCAAACCCTGACCTTGACATTACTCATGATGTAAATCTAACTTCATATGGGCACATATCTTCCTATGATATAAAGAATATGCAATATGATGATATTTGCCTGGCATAATCTCTTGAAAAGCAACTCACAGTATGACTAATATTTTGGTTTGGTTTGGTGAATGGCAGATAGATACAGTGAAGTTATCTGGTTAGTGTTTGAATACAGTGGTTAGGTAGTAAATTTTATGAACATCACAATGTTGTAAATCTCGGTACCCATTCAATTCATTTAAACTATTTCTTATCACTATTTTTTAACCCTCGCTGGTATAGGGGGTGGGGGAGGGGGTCAAAGAGACGCCCTCCCTCGGTTTTCGCGAATAACTCGTGTAAAAAGCGGCCGATCGCGACCAAACTTTCAGTACCC